AAAATTATGTTGAAAGTTTTACTATCAGACTGGCCAAACGCGCTCTTCAGAGTTATCAGCGCAAGGTTTGCACAGCAAGCATTCTTGTCACAGCGTAAGACTTCAGGTTATTGAACATTAACGCTTCTAGATAATTTTTAAGTTCAAATACCTCTAGAAGCGAGTTTTAGAACTCCTATGTTTAGTATGCATGGTGTTTTGGATGAATTACTTTAACTTTTAAGTGATAAACGGATTATTAGACCTCTAGAGATATATGGATGAGAGACCTGGGATGTTGATTGGAATCTCTGACCTTGTCGACCGGTGATATTTATAGGAAGAGTACGAACTGTTCTGAACCTGTTCTTATAAAACATGGGTCCCGAAAATCGATCGCGATGATTAACATGTGTAGCACAAGACATGGAAGTTCTCCTAGTCCGTCCCATTACTCTCAGTGGATGAAATTAATCTGAACTGCAGCCCGACATCTAATTTCATCTTTTCAAAACTTCGTGGCAGAACTGATTACTTAATATTGTCAAAGAGAGGAATGACATACGGAACAGCCTGATATATTAGCTGAAATTCATAAAAGCAATTGGAAAATGAAGGAAGCTAGCACAGTTTGCAGAGTGATAGAAGAATGTGTGGCATACCAATAGTTTATGGTGAGTCCAGGATAATAACTGATGAGGCAAGTGCTCCTGTTTGGAGTGCGACAAGCTTGATAAAACTTTGAGGCTGTGGGAGAAGACTAGTTCGGGCGTTTCGTAGTAAGAGGAAGATCACTGAAGAAAAGTTATGGATTTGTGTTTGCCAGTTCCTCCACGTCTACCGAGTTAAATGCCGCTTTTAAGTCAAGGAAACTATCATTGTCGGACGCATATAAGCACTTCTGTGTGAATATGTAGTCGATTCAGCCACGACCAGGTATGAAGCCGGCCTGATTTCCTTGTGTTTGCAATTCATGTGCATTTGTTAGACGCCCTATAATTATTGAGGCCGGTATTTTTGGTGCGATATTAGTCAAACTAATCCCTCCCTGTTTGTCACATGATGAATATGACCCCTCCTTATATATTGCGACAATCAGTGACTGCGATCAGTCACAAGGAATTACATCCGTCTCCCGGATTTTAGCCAAATTAGTAGTCAATCTAATCGCTTAAACCGGATCATCACACTTAAAGACCTCTATAGCCAATCCATCTGAACCGGCTGCTCTTCATTGCTTCAGATTACTTATAGCTTTTCGAACTTCAAATAGAGTCGGAATGCCTGCTTCAATGTTCCATTCAGGCTGCCTGGGAATGGTAAGTAATCGTAGAGTAGCTAAAAGCCAGCTGAACCGTTCCTTAAAATGTTCCATCCATCATTTTAAACGTCTACGCTGAAAGCCGACAAGAGTGCCGTCTTTTTCCGAGATCGTCTCACTTGCACTTGAAGTTCTGGTTCCAGATCTTTTTATTAATCTGAAGAGTTGTCTTGTGTTGCCTACAACCACCGTTTTTACCATCTCTTTTGCTTTCGTTGCCCACCACTGCTCACGATCGTTCCTTAGACTTGTGTTTAACCTAGATCTCATTTGTTTTTGTTCTTCATGGTGTTCAGAGCTTGATGGGACAAAACTACGATAATCTATCACTGCAACGGACGTAGTAGAAATCCACTGGTCTTTCGTATCCCCTTGGTTCAAATCACTAATGGATGTCGCTGCTGTTTCCACAACTGTTCGTAAATATTTCCAAGCAACATCTGAGTCAGCCTCGTTTTCAGGATTACCCAAGAGTGACCTCACTTGTTCCTGGAATTTACTTTTGGCTTCCTCATCATTGAGTTTGACTCTAATGGACCTTCCTAATATGATTTTCCAGCGTCCAGGGATGTGCAAGTAAGCGCGTGCTCGTATTAGAGAATAATCGGAGTCCAAACAGGTATTTCTGAACGAACGACAGTCTTCTATTGAGCATCTCCAACGATGGCTGATGGAGATATGGTGCATTTCAGTCCATCATTGGTTTGGTGCAGGGGGTCATCATTTTAGTCGATGACTCTCCATATGCTTAGAGTTAGTGCTTACTAAAAACAAACGATTGTCTGAGCACAGTTGCGCAGACGATCACCATTATCTGTTCGTTGAGCCGGAACACTAAAATAATTACATATCTTTCTGTTTGGTTTAAACTACCTATCTGGGCATTTAAGTCACCTGCTGCGACTAATATATCTAAGTGTTTAGATTTACGATGAAGTTCAGAAACCTTTCTGTAAAATTCATCTTTCAATGCGTCCGGGATGTAGTCAGTGGGGGCGCAGGCAGAAATGACAAATAGGCAATGACATGTGTCCCTATCCATCCGAGTTCCTACAGAGCCGTTTAGCCTAACAGCACATAAGCGGCTTTTAACATAGATCCATTCTAATAGTGCTTGTTCTGCCCTCGAACTTAGTGCTGTTCATACACCTGCCATTTCTTGAAAACTAGCCATCGGGTCGCCAGATACACGGGGTGTATCTCGTCGGCTCACCGTTTTGGCAAAATGGGGTCAAGTGAGTGAGTGCACTATGATTCTGTGTGCGTGTTTCAGAGATACAGTATGCATCAGTGGTACGAGATTCTAGGGTCTTAACCAAGGAGGCCTGTCGGCCGATTTGACATAGTGTGAGTACGTTGAGTCTCCAAAAGTTATCCTAATGAGGTATGTACATGGAAATATTTACAAAAGAGTGCTGTTGAACCGAATGCAAGATTTAGTAGGCATTCACTTTCAAGATGAATCTGTTGGATTATGAGCGAATCCATAGTGAGCCGACGAAATCACGACATAACAAATCACTGTTGAGATATCCATAGGATGGAATATGTCATAATGTATCAACTTACTTGAATATGAGAAAGCGATTGACAATGTGGATAGGAGAACTTTACGGAATCTCCTTCGACACTGTTGTATCTGAGAAGATCATCAACATCATACGGAATTCATACTGCGGACTACAGTGGAAAGTCGTGTATGGAGGACAGCTGACGGACCCATTTCGAGTGAGGACTGGAGTCAGACATGACTACTTACTCTCTTCCTTTCTGCTCCCTCTGGTGGTTGACTGGGTCATAAAGACTTCCACACCTGAGGGGAATCACAGAATACGATGGACAACTTGGATGTAACTAGATGATTTTGACTTGACAGGTGACCTAGCCCTTCTATCGCATACACACGAACAAATGCAGGTGAAGGCAACTAGTTTAGCAGCAGCCTGTGGATCACTAGGCACAAACATAGACAAGGGAAGAAGCAACATCCTCAGATACAACACAGATAGCCTCAACCAAATCACACTTGATGGAGAGACTGTGGAAGAGATGTGTAGAATTATGGTCTACTAGGATATTAGTACTGCTCTAATAATAGACCTAATCCTAAAATTGTAAATTCGTCATGATAAAACTGCCTAATCTATAAGATCTTACGTGAAAGTCACAACATCGACTACACCAACTCACTGTATCGTATCAATTACCAATACATGATGTAGAACAAGGTTAGGCTAGAGAAGGAACAATATATTTAATATGAATAGAAGATATAAGGTAACATTCAGATGGACCACGCCTGGATGGTCGAGCCATGCCATCCGATCAACTCCAGTCCATTCAATTCCTTGTTCGCGCCTTCTCCATTGTTAGGTATTTCTCCGCGTTAAATATTGAATATCTATTTTCTGAGTAGTCTCGTGTTCACAGCTTTGTGGACTGTGTGGACGTTGTAGTCTTGCTGAGTAACATCATTGTCCTACTAACAGGTCTTCGGAAAAAGTCAGTTAACTTGGATAACGATAGTAAAAAAACCGGTGGACAAACAAGAGCGTGCGACGGATACAAAAATAGGGATGTCCACAGGCATACCATCGATGGAGCATCCATCAACACTAATGATGACGTGTCAAGGCTCAGCACCATCATTACGTTGACAGTATTAGACTCCCTAAGCAAACTCGGGTCTCGCAGCTCACGGGCCCTGAACACAACAGCGGTTCCAAAAAACCCTGTGGGTGATTCAACCCATGTCAAGGGAACCCAAAAGGACCAGGCATCACCGCCTGAGCCGAGCAACTCAAGTGTTGCTGTACGAAAAACAACTGGTGATTTGTCGCACAGTCTACTCCCAAGACTGTTCGTCCGGTCAATAAAGAGCCCAAGACTCAAAAACGCGCACTGACCTCCAAACAACAAGTTATTAAACCTGAACCCATCGTGAAACCTGGTAAATTAACAACAGGTCGTGACGATTCTCTCATTATCATGAACCTTGTTGACAATCCTGACCTTCCTCTCAGTCTGCAGGACAAAAACGACAGGATGCTCTGGGGTCAATTGAACAAGTACTTCGAACTTTCTAGAATAAAGCCTTTGACGGTCACCCGGCATCTAAATCACCCGAGGCTTCTCCGAGTAACACTTAGGAATGCTACCGACGTGGAGGACGTCTTGCCAGCAAGTCACTTGTTGAAATCCGATGGTAACGTAAGAATATTGCCCGACATACTGTAATCTGAGCGCAATATCATACGGAACGTCCCTAAAGAACCTCGCGAGAAGTTCTTTCACGGAAGAAACATAATTGTGCAAGGTATACCGGAAAATGCAGACCCTACTCAATCGAATTCTGACATCAGGGAATGAAAATTCATCAAACAGTCCTTGAGGCTCAAACACATACTGGCTCAGCATGTGACGAGACTAGCCAAGAAGGGCAGTGATCTTAGACCCTGTATAATGAAGATAACCTTCCCATCTTCCCACATGGCAGCTGGAGTTCTGGAAGCATTTCGTGCCAACAGACGTCGATTGCCACCTGGAATCCACATGCACCCGGATAAGCCATATGAGGCTAGGACCAAGCACAAAGGCAAGTTGGAGTTGACAATCCTACTTGTGGACTGTCTAAATGATAAAAAGACGTGTAAAGGACAGGGCCTACCACCTCGTCCACAACCATTTGGACCATTCAATCAGAATCGCTTTAGAGATTCCAAGGTTGCGGCGCCAACTGCAGTGCTTAATGCTAACTTACTATGGGTGAATTTATCCGCAACGTTTCCATGTAAGCCTAATCATCGCCCAGTGTAGTAGCGATCATCTGTGCGTTCATGTAATCATAGAATTTGTCATTTCATAATGTATTTTTTATCGAATAACTAGATTATGCTGTCAGTTTTGTACAAACGTGATAATTGAGCAGCTATAACAAATAAGATGGCAAGACTATAATTTGCGGACTAATCAATCAGGTATGAGATAATAGATCTCGGATTTTAACGCGAAGGCCTTTCATCCATTTGGCTAAATAAATTTCTGCCATTATAGCTGTTGTCAGTTCGTAATGAAAACCCATATATAATTCTTAACTAAGGCAAGTTACGACAATCATTGCGAACTGGATAATAAAAGCACCCATAACACTGGCTGCAGCCAGATACTATAATATATACGGATGTTTGGAGAGCGTACAGACTCACACGTAGGCTTGGTCATGTGCATTGTGTCGTTATGCACAAGTAGCATTTCGTCCACTCAACAACAGGAGTTCACATAAACAATACTAAAGCTATATGGTCGAGGCTAAGAGAGTATTTAAGACTTTATCATGACTCCAGAGGCCGACTATTCTGTAGCCGTATGGATGATTTCCTCTGCTGCATACATTACGATTTTAGAACTTCTGAACTTTTTCCTAACTTCGACAAGTTTTTGAACCACGTATAAGAAGTGCATCCACTTTATTTCCTTGGTTTTGTATAACGTTTTTACTCTATAGTGACTGCTTGCTGATCGGCTAATATTTCTCAAGGTCACTTAAGATTCGTTCGAAGACCGTCCATAAATTAGAGTCTCGCTGAATATCCTTTTGTTAATCCAACTCAAGTGTTTTGGGTAACCGATGTAAAGATACAACCAACTTAACATAGTCATATGCCCACTAAAATTGCGTCATCACTTCAAAAAATGTTTCAACTCTTGCCTCGCGTTGTAAATAGCAAGATTAAGATCAGCTGTAACAATAATTATAAGTCTATAGGCCGGTGAGCTTCTGTAAAAACCCGTCCTGTTTCTGTTCCGTATATCAGGACAACTAAGCTTTCCAGGATGGGAAATAACAGTAAGGGGTAAAAAGGTTGGATATCGAAAGTCAACTCGTTCATGGGGATGAAACCCCAAGGACCCGTCACTACCCATTACGGTAAAACGCAGAAGTCCCCAATTATAGGCCGTTAAGTCCTGCCTAGCAAAAATACTTCCGGCACGTTTGAGAAGACAGCAACGAAATTCACTCTGATAATCGAAAGAAGAGTGGCAAGATTGGGGAACCTTGTCCGATCCCGCTGATTTAGTGTCGCAATAGAGAGGTGTTTGTGTGCCCGCACTCTCCCTGAAATGTTTGTATGTAAGGTTGTCTAGACGGTAATAAACTTGTCAGGCACACCACTAAACAGACAATCCCGGGAAATAGTCCTGTCCAACAAATCCTCTATAAGTCACCTTACTTCGATTCATCAATTGTTCTACGGGCCTCTGTATTATAGCTAAGTTGGTGTAATTAAAGCTTTTTTCCGCTGTCTAAGGTCATCATCCTTTGGATTTTAGTTTGTGCTATAGAAAGTCTAAAAACACCTTTCTATGTTATAGCATTATGCAACGGAGATTTCGAGTCATTTTTTGCTACTCATGACTTTCTTATAGCGTCCAGGATTTCTACGAATCATAACTTATAGTTATATTCACGCATGTTCTCACTGTAATCCATCTTAAAGCTAATTTGGAGGAAATAAAAAGAGAAATTGCAATGTTATCATTTTGTGGCTGGTTACATTTTATTCTTTTAAATTTTACAACTCGTTTCTTAATACTCTGTCGATTTCATATTCCCAGTAAATATCTAACAATGTAGTTAGATGCTTTCCAATCGTTTCTTAAGAAAACCATTACTATATTGCGTAAGGTGACTGTCTTCTTCTGTATTTTCTATACATAATTGCCTTATCTCACTGGACATGGTTGCCAACTCATTTAGATAATGATGGGTTTCAGCGCATTTGAACGCACATCTTGCTATCCAGATCGAAAGTGAAGTTCATGGAGGAGGAATTTTCTGCAACTATCAAGGAATATCAAACCGTTTTAGAGTCAGTGGATAAAAAGCTTACATCAGTCATTACTAACGATCGATTTCTTAATGACCTTATTCCGAAGTCCAATCACGAAGGTGAATTCGTAAACCTGCCAATAAACAGAGAAGTGATGAATGCTATAGAAATTCACTTTGGGCGAGTAAGTCCTGTTTCTGTAGCATACCTGTTTTACCACAAAATAACAGCCTCAAACATTAATATGTATTTCAGTATTTTCGTTAAGCTTGATCTACATATTCTGTTAGTCTATTCGTGAGATTTAAGACGACAAGGAAAAGTGATTCTGACTGAGGATCCATCAAATTTCCAATGGTTTAAATACATAATGAATGGCTCACTATATGTGTATGTTTGGGGAGGGTGGTTATCTGGGTAAGCTCTATATTATTTATTTGCGTTTAAAGCCTATCAGTAAGGAATTATAATACTGCGGTTGTCAAAACTGTACAAATACGACAATCTTCCTCTCGTGGATAGCTACTATCGTCGATAAAATTCGATTTGTGACGGCGAAGCTCTTTACTAATCCCATTATCAGTCTCCCAACCTCTTTACTATATGTTTCGGTTCATCTACAAGAAATCACTTCGATTTTTGCAACTGGCTTATTCTGCTTTTTTGAGTCGCTTACTAACCCGAAATTTTTATAATCACCTCTAAAGTTTTAGTGTTATTATACTATGCTACCGCTTGTTTGGTATTATATTACTATTATACACAGTATATACTGGTGTGAAGCTAATTGAGATGAAATATTCTTCCACTTTATTTACTTTCTATCTCGATCATTTAGAATAGCATAATGATTCTTGCAAAGTGGTTTTGATGCGTATTGCTGGGTCTTATTAAAATAGTGTTATTCTATGCAGAAAGAAAAAAACATTCCAAAATCACGGTAGTCTAACAAACCTTATTTTTCGCTAGCAAGTAAGCCTACATGCTATGTTTGAGTATGAGTAAGCCCACGTTGTGTTGACAGCGGTATATATATGATTGACTGGAGTTGCTCGAGTTAATTTATGCAGGATCAGAAAATAATACTTAGTTTTCCACATAGTTCAGTAATCCTATGATTCTAAGAGCGGAAATTCCCTAATTTTTTATTACAAATTGTGCTCAGGTTGTGTTGACAGAAGTGTCCACCAGGAAGCACAAACCACTCTTTCCTAATAACCTTCATAAAAATTTATCCCAATACACTCACGTTGATTTATGTGTATTTATTTCTGTTATTTGTTTCCGCAGGCTGTGCGTCTAACGTTGTTGAGAGGAGATGGTGTAAGACTACCTATGGTAGTTCCTGTTGATGCTCGTGTTTTGGAATTGCGATGGGCAGTACAAGATGCAGTTACTTCGTACATGAACCATCTCCATAGTGCATCAAATTTACCAAAAGATAACTGTAAAGAAGATTCCGCCCACTGTATTCCGTCCAGCAATATTCCTTCGAAGTCGATTAGCTGGCGTAATTTGTGGAAAACGAAATGTCTAGCTCTAGTGAACCCACATAGTTTGTGTTCATCAGAAGGTCTTCCGTCTATCAGTGCTAGACTAGATGTATTAACTAATAAGTTATCATATTATCAAATTCGTAATGGTGCAGTGATCACTTTTGCTCCTCAGCTTAAGCGAAAATGAACATTAATGTGTTTTTACTACTTCACTAAACTATATTTAAGTTTTCCTCTTTTGCGATCTCATTGCTTTTACTTACCAAATAAAGTAGTCATAAGTTATTTTTGACGTCCTTCTCTGTCATCGCTCCTATTATTTTTGCTAAATTAATACGTCTATTAAGCGTTAACCAATTCACTTAACTATCAAGACAACTGAGGGATTCTTTGGTGGACATACTCAACTAAGGAGTTTACAGAAAAACGCTTGTTAAACCTGAGCTTTGACAGTAAGTCCATATCGGCTCTTGACGTGTCTAAATGTGGAAGGTTTGAACAAGTCAGCTGATATATTAAATCATTGGAAATAAACCTTTGGTCTAGGGATTATGTTGTAATTCGATATGATGATGTGGATAAAGTCGAAGCTTAACTGATTTTAACTAAAAGCACCACTTGAATGACGAAGATCCACTTTACAAATTATACCGGGATTGACAGTCCTACAGCTTACCAGACAAGATATTAGTTACAAACTAATTCAATCATCTGAATAAAGTAGTATCAAGTCAAATCAATAGATTGACGGAAATTGGTGTTTCTTAATTCCACCGTTGGACTAAAACTATTGGGAAATTGAAATGGTCTGTTTGAAACTAATGTATATTTAGATACATCTAAATCTGCCACTTGGTAGATCCATAAGACTGGAATCACCCTAGACTTAATGTTCCTGACAAGTTTTCATCAAGTACATTTTATATGCCAACACATGATGGTAATGCAAAGTAATTTGACTTTAATGAAACAGTGAATAATCTAATCACGAATAGTAACTAGAATCGACTGCATTAACCATTGCTGTATTTTCAAGAACAGAGTTTGGCTTTTCGTAAAGTGTATTTCGGAGTTCAGTTCAACTATTTACAAATTTAACACTTTGTGAAGCAACGTAATATGAATAACTATTGTAACCAAAATTTTGGCAACAATCAAAATAAATGAATTATAGTGAATAAGTGTGTAAAACAATGTGGTTTTGTTGTTCTGTCACTCTCGTAGTATCTATTTGCAATTAACAGACTAATCACTTTCTGCACCATGTCTATCTTCAATCATCTCTTGATGCCATTGGTTAAATGCTTCCGTTAAGCATGTAACAGGGCAGTATATCGCAGATTTTAAAGGAGAATTAGTCCTGCGCCAATAAAGACGGTATGCTCGTATAACACGTAACTAAAAGTCCAAAATAAACGCAGTGTATTATGAAGCATTCGGTTTTCAACTCTTATGAATAGTTTGTATCTTAGAGCAACCAATCAGTATCTGATCAACATTTGAGATTTCCCTTGAGCGTTTGTTGTAAATTTTATGGATAATGTATCCTTATATAGATATCTCATTGAGTTATAGGTATATGTCCTTAAGTTGTAGACAATATCCAGCAAGACTGAATTTATTATTAAAGTTCTGTCTGATAATTCAGGATTTTGTTTAATAAAACTGAAAATTTACTTGCTCAACGGGAAGGATCTCATATGTAATGCTTCATAGCTTGCTTTATATTCAATATATTTCAGATAACCCTGGTAAGCTTTAGAATCTCAAATAACGTTTTATAAAAGATCACTAATCAATTGACGAGGGCATATTACGTGGACAATTCTCAGTTTTTGGGTAAGCACTGAAATATCATAATAAATATTTATACTTACCGGTTCGCTGTAGGTAAAAGTATTCCCTGAACGTGTATAAAAGTAAAATCTGGGAGATTTGAGAGTACTGTTTGAAGAGAACCTAGATTCTGTTACCAATAGATCATCTATATCTCGGATCCCAGAGTCCTGAGGAAGTCTCCTGAATATTTCAGTAAGAATGGATTCTTTGGAATGTTTTCTCTGTCCGTACATAAGAAAATAAATTATACTTGAAAACAGTACCATGTGGCAATTATTTGAGCGCGTATTTGCGTCCAAAATATATGAACTACTTAGTTCCGTGTATACTACGTACGAAACATTGTGGCCACCAGAATAAAGACAAGATTTCTGAGATGGCAATAAACGAAGTTAGAAGCATAAACCAAAAACAAAATGGGCCGAAATGTGTGGAAAATTGAGAAAAAACAACTTATTGCACGTGAGATAATGTGCACGCACCTAGATATAGTTTTGTAGTGATTTGCAGGAAGTCGACTGCAAAAACAGCTCATTTCTTTTTAGAGGCTGGTAATATTTCTTTAAACTCTCACGAGACTTCTGAATTTAAATAAACAACATCCTAAGCTATAAAAGACATCATGAGTCCCAATAATGAATACTATACAATTTGGTAGATAAATACGTCAATGAATGAAAGGTAAAATCCAACTAATAAGTTTCTTAGCGAGGTATTGAGTGAATTAGATTTAGCTAATGAAATCACGAGTTATCCATTGTTAAGACACCTAACTGACAAAATGTCTATGTAAATTATGGACAATATAGTGTAGCCACTCATCACGCGAATCAAGCTTAATTACTATCCGCTTTTTTTTATCCACTCGTAAGGTCATTTTCAGAGAAAGATACTTTCCTAAGTATGATTAACAGATATGATAATTGGATTGTTGTACTAGATTATCATCAGTAAATAAATTAAAATGGATCAAATTAATGAAAAAATGACGAGATAATTTGCAGAATTTTTTAGAAGAGAGATTTATCATCTTGATTGATCAGAACAAAGTAGATCATTCATTAGAAGACTTGGAAAGATATCAAAACCAGAGCTCCAGTAACAAGTTCAGGGTAAAACGTTGGTATTTACAAAGTGGTCAAACACTATTGAACAGTTCTATTGGCTCTTATTCATTTTCCACACCGATAAAATAAAACAGAATAGGGAAGGTAAAAATAACATTTAGATTTCTCGATTCATTTATCATCAATGTAGGGGTCTCGGATGAATTTGTATCAGTCCGAAATACTGTTATTCCCAGCAGAACAACAATAAGGGGAATTTCCAAGGCGACATGTGAAGCAGAGGAACTAATTTTAATTATGTAGTAGTGAACGTAAATATATTTAGTCACTTAGCCCACAAACTATTAAATAAGTGATTTCCCCTCCTTTCACTGAGAACAACTGCTTTGTAACTGTGCTGAACAAAGTATTATCTAATCTATACTCTGGTTCTCTATTCTGGGTCGGAAATCCTAGATCTGATAATAACGTGTTATCGTAGTATACTTGAGGAAGTGAGCGGAAAAATATTCCATGCTATCCGTTATATAATTTAATTATGGAAAAAATGTGAGAAAAGCAGCTTGAAAGGTATAGATAAGATCAAACAATGAAAATTAACCAACGATTTTGAGGAAGATAGGAAATTAATAGAGATGAATCAATGCAATAATTTATGCCGTACTGCCTGCTATTCGAACTAATTCCTGATATATGAACTATTGTGAAGATAAATGTCTTTAAAATGGGTCTCAGAAAGATATAGTTGGTCTGTAATTCTTTAATAACTTTATTTTAATTAGCATAATTTAGATTCATCAGTGAATTAAGACATAAGTGGACTGGTAACATAGAGATTAGTATTTGACAAGTATCGAATACATAAGATAAAATATTTGTTACATATTTTTAAGAGTTTATGTTCTGGAAATGTCAAGACAAATGTGATTATCCATTTTGAGATCGTCAAACAGAAGGATAAGTCACTTCTTATTGTTACTAACAATAGAGACTGAAGTTAGAACTGGTTTGACGTGTTTTTGGAATGTCCTAGGAAGGCTGATGTGATTTATTTTCCTAGGACGAACGATTCTGTAATGTACAGGATTGTCATGCACTATACTAGATACCCAGGCGTAAGACTTATCTCTCACAAGTTACACCAACTCCGATTGAGAACACGATATAGGGATGGATCAACGTATATAAAGTTAGGACAGTTACGAAGGGCTGAGTAAAATCTGTATTACGCTTCATACATACCTGTCTATATGCAATTATTAACCATCCACCGTTCACTTTCACCGACATGTTAACGTCATTCATCTTTTTGATCGTCAAGGAGTTCTTGGTCGGTGACGAGCCCAAAGTCACCAGACTGAATAGTCTATGTGACATCAGTCATTCGTTGCGTCGGAGTAAGAAAATTTCAAGTTTAATTTTATGCATATTTTAAGTTAGTTGAGATATGATTACATAGTACTTGCATATATATATATATATATAATTAGGTTTTGTGCTTACCGTTTTATTAATACGAAACTAGTAAGATGGTGCTTGTCGTTTCATGAGGTTGATGACGTTTCAGACCTAAACAAAACTTCACAACTTTGACTTTTCAAAACCTAAAAAACATGGTCATATGACGGTGTATAGTCTGGTGGTGTAATGTTATTATAGTAGGTGAAAATATATTATCAAATATTTGTGAAATGCTGTTAAACAAACAAATTACGGATCGATCACTAATGTGCATAAGTACAGGATTATATCTATCCACAAGACTCAGTGAACTAAAAAGGTCCAATAATTAAGGTATGATACAAAAATTACTATAAAATGTAACTAACTTTATTATTTGACGTCACCCCGAATGTCCTGTAATGAGGTGAAATTGGTTCATAGCATAGACTTTTTCTAGGACCTAGTCCTAACCCCATCGATCGTAATGTTAATGATTCAGTTGCTACTTCATTGATTAAATTAGGGAACTTTTTGGGATTGAAAGAATGTGGGTGACTGTTATTTTCACCAATTGGTGCATAGTATATCATTTCATATACACTATCAATATAGGTATACAGATCTCGATTTAAAATACGACGTATTAGAGACTGTGCCTGTTGAATTCGAGAAAGAAAATTTTCCGAAGTAAATCTTGATAATGATCCTCGTCCATAAAAAACATCCCACAAAAGTGAATCATGGAGTTTAAGAAAATCATTCAAACTATCTGGATTCTGATATTTTAATGCGTTCATGCTAATGGATCGAAGATTAAGTACAGGTTCTATTAATTCAAGAGCATCAATAATCATAGCCTATAAAAAGGAGAATAAAACAATAGTCGAATATAGGAATCCAAAGTTTGGAATGTCTGAGATGGTGAGTTTACAATTTCTTGAAACCTTTTAAAAATTTAATGTTTGCATACTCTGAACTCAACAAATAAGTTCCATATGAGTGAATATGTCTTCGAATGATGTACTTCGATACCATTCAGTAATATTCAGCTTTCCTTATCATAGTTTGAACAACGCACTGAAATGTAGCAGATTTATGATTAATTTTATTAAGCCACTCGTTCACAAAGTCATAATTATCTCAGTATATTTTTAATTTCACTGTGAGAGGAGTTTTGCAAAATATTAATGCCTAATCGTGTACGTGGGCAAAGGAAGGCTATAAAGAGGTTTCTGATTTAAAGTAAAATGATTTAGCTATGTAGATCACCTCCCAATAAAAAGTTTTTCAAAACCACAAGTATTAAAAAAGGAACTCATTGAAATACAGAACTACTCTGAATTTCAAATTAAAAAAAAACATTGTATATAGATAAATGAAACTATTCAGTGAGTGGGATGTTGGATCTATACAATTAAACAATACTGAATCTATCTTTTGAACTGTTGTCAGAGCAAAATAAAGTCCAAAGTATTTTTTAAAAACCTCATCACGGTTTTGGTGAATCCCAGAAACTATTCACTCACACTGAGTCGACATTACTTCTAATTTAGACAAATTTTAAACTAGTTAATAATTCTAGCATTTCTAAGAGTTTCAAAATCCCAAACTTAGATTGCATAATTGCAATTATGATTTTTAAATATCACAGGTTGTAAGCAGCTGACGAGAACCTACGAAATAAAATGAATTCATGCTATTCTGCTAGAGTCTTTGTTTTTGCTCTTTTTAAAATGATAAAGGGAACTATGTGTATAAAAAATCCCAAACTTAGTAGCATCATCCTAAATCAACATTGGTTTGGGTTTGTTGAATGGTAAAATAATGTCTTATGCTGTATTTTCACCATTTCATCTATGATGAGAACAGTGGAGTATTTAGTATGCACACACCACTGCCCTTCTTTCCTACACTGGTTTAAACCATTAAAAAGACTGCATGTATTTGAAAGACGAAATAATAATCCTTTTTTAGTATCTGAAATAACAGAGAAGCAGACTAACTTACAGAAATAGCTGTCACTGTTTTATGTTGATAAACTTTTTGATGAAGATGCTGTCGTAAACTGAATGTTCGAAGCAAATTTTCCAATTCTGTATCTCTAAATGATAAATGCCAACATTTTGATTCATTCTCGTCACCTTTGTCTTTATCAGTATGTAGAAATGGTCGGTAAAATCTTAAAAATCTATCAATATCCACACTAGTCCCACTAGCTCCCAAACCAGAATGCAGACAATCTCGGAGTAGATAATCCCATTTGTCAACATCCATACCATTTAAACTATTGGAGAGAATCTGAATTTATTAAGACAAAGTAAAATTTAATAATCATAATAAGTACTAATAACTAATTTAAAATTGTAATTCGCCAAAACCTACTAATTCAATATTTGTTCATAATAATAAGAAAGTTCAGATCATTCAATCGTAAGTATCGCATGACCACACTTATATTGTATTCAGAAGCATCTTTGAAATGATGTTAACATATAATAGGATGACAAACTTTATTACAGCTTTTAAAGATGTTTCTAAAACTTAAAAATAACTTACCTCATAAATAAATGATTTATTCTTCAATGAATCCTGTGAAAAGTTCAAATTAGAGAAAATGGAATACAACATATGAAATCCAGATAGTTATTTCTAAAGTGATAATTATGAAAAAAACATGAAACGATTATTCTGGTTGTATATATATATATATTATGACTCCAGTTAAATCGTGTGCCCATTGTCATAGAAATATACATCTAAGATAATTCGTACATAATTATCGATCGAAATAGCGTTAGTGAATAACGGCATTAAATAAGTCAAATATGAGAATGAATTTTTGAATAAGTATATTTCATACACTCGTTGATCTGAACAGACAATCAGATAAACGAAGTGGAGCAGAGAAAACGAGTGAGCCAACTTGCTTTGACCAAGTGTGACTCAACATTTATATTCAGACAAAAGTAAATTACAGACACGTAATAAATAGAATGAGCAATTAACATGTATACGATCATATAAAAAAAAGTCAAGGGAATAACTGCCAAGGTCAAAATGAATAAATTGGTCTGTCCATGAGCTAGATGGCCCATGTGGGCTTGACATAGTACCAGCCACTATATATATATATCCAGTATCTGATTTCAGGGTGGAAACTAATGTCGTTACTAGTCTGTTTATTGTTGATAGAATTCTATCAACCAGGTTGGGATGTGACTCCTACTTTAAGTGTCTCGAGATCACATGTACTGTTCTGATAGTAGGTTGGAGGAGGAAATTTGCAATAAATCTTGAGATTAGATATCGTACCACTTTTCACCTATCATTAAGTCGTATCTGCCATCTCGGGGAAACTAGTGATTTTTGTCAGATCTACGTCTGTCAATTAAAGGATGACAGTTACGACTCGGTAGTCAATTATCATAAAAATCTCAGTCCTGTAAGTGGTCAATCACAATTCTAGTACGACACTGATAACCTCTCTGACTGTGACAATCGGTAGTGTGGGTTTGAATCTTACGAGGAACATCAGTACGATAACTAGAAGTATTCGGATTATTGTACTAACTAGGAATTACCTTGACAGTGCGATTGAAGCCAGACAACTAGATTAGCACAAACGAGCGTATTGTATTTGGAATTCGTAATCATCGGGTAATCAAGTACAAGAGAATCATCAGCTCATGCGAATAGCATAATCAGTTTACTCAACATTATGCTAACAAGTTTCACCTGGCATGAAAGGTTCATATAGGGCTTCGTATTGGCTATGGTCAACACAACTTGACATAGACAAAATGTTCTTATCGAGTTGATGCAGGAGTAAGCTAGCTAGTTCCAAAGAGTAATCATCACTAAGATGAAAGTAAACTTCAATTTAGTAGTTAACGTTTAACCTAATTTATATAAAACCTAAAATCATTGGATTCGATTCCAAGAACAGTCAATTCTTATAACCTTTCAATGGTTTCTTAGAGTAAATTGTTGTCATCATAGATACTATCTTCAGGCTAAATGAAATTTATCTAATTAAAGAAACATTATAATTTATAACGAAGTCTACAAGATATTGCATCACGACTAATTGAGTATATTAAATAAATTATTCAGAATGATTTCTAAGGCATTACCTGTTGTGATAATACAGTACTAGTATCACCTAGTATCAGACTGCGTATGAGATTCATATCAACGCCAAGATTATTTAATTCACTTTGTAGGGTAGGTTTTGAACAAATAATTTGATAAAGTACATGCCCACTAATTGTTTCATGCTATACAGATGCGAAATAAAAAAAACTGGAGAAGTTAACCTGAATTAATATGTATAGGGTAGGGTTAAAACTGCGACATTTTTAAAGTATGTACAGAATCTCACATATGCGTCAATGCCTTTTCGATGTTCGCTTGATCTAGGTAAATACCGATCCCATTGCGGTAGGAGTATATTATTTGTTTGGCATTATAGTCATCACAATGTACCAACTAGCCACAAAACAACCAGTGATCTAATGAGAACACTGAACAGACGAACAAAGTATGTATTATTATCATATATTATGTTACGGTAAGTGCAGGGGATAGGGTGAATATGTATTACAAGTCATACATATCTATCTATCCAGCCATTTAGGACGTCAACCAATCACCGCTATGTGCCATCTACACAACACCACCCTCGCCGAGTTCGTTCGTCAGTATTTGGCCTTAAATTAATTTGAAAGAAATCCCACCTGCATTTCTTATTGTCACTATCATTTTACGGACTTACAGCTGCAATTCATTTGAAGTAGTAGTGGTGATAACATCAAACGTCTCATATTTCGGTTGGCTTGAGATGACTGACTGCTCATTACTTAGCCAGTCAGAATCAACAAATATGTATTCGGGTTTTGGAGAAACTTATTTCGATGACTTTTGCTTTTCATTACAAAAAATTTAGAGTAGAAATACATTTATATGATTCTGAGGATGTTTAAAATTGCTTGTAAAGATTTAATGTCATCACAGAGCGAAAATTACAATGTTAAGTGTACCAAGTGTTTATTTTTTAAGTACAGATTTTACGCCACACGTGGGTAAAACACTTCGAAGAACTCTTGAATCGACCAGCTCCACTGAACCCACCCAACATAAAAGAAGCGCCCACGGACCTCCCAATCAATGTTGGCCCACCAACAACTGAAGAGATCAGCATAGCCACTAGATAAATAGCGACAAAGCTGCAAGACCAGACAACATTCCAGCAGAGGCACTGAAAGCAGATGTAGCAGTAACTGCAAGGATACTCAACATTCACTTCAATAAGATTTGGGATGAAGAACAAGTACCAAAGACTGGAAAGAAGGACTTCTGATCAAAATATCAAGGAAAGGCGATCTCAGCAAGTGTGATAACTACAGAAGCATCACTCTTCTCTCAATACCAGGAAAAGTCTTCAACAGGGTATTGTTAAATAGAATAAAGGACTCCGTAGATGCCCAACTTCGGGACCAACAGGCTGAATTCCGTACGGATCGATCGTGTACAGACCAAATCGCAACTCTACGGATGATTGTGGAATAATCAATTGAATGGAATTCATCACTCCGCATCAACTTCATTCACTACGAAAAAGCATTTGATAGCGTGGACAGAACATTACTATGGAAGCTTCTTCGACACTACGGCGTGCCTCAGAAGATAGTCAATATCATACAGAGTTCATATGATGGATTACACTGCAAAATCGTTCATGGAGGACAGTTGACAAAGTCGTTCGAAGTGAAGACCGGTGTTAGGCAAGGTTGCTTACTCTCACCCTTTCTCTTCCTCCTGGTGATCGACTGGATCATCAAGACGTCAACATCTGAAGGGAAACACGGGATACAATGGACATCTAGGATGCAGTTGGACGATCTAGACTTCCCAGATGATCTGGGCTTTCTATCCCAAACGCAACAACAAATGCAAGAGAAAACGACCAGTGTAGCAGCAGCCTCAGCAGCAGTAGGTTTCAATACACACAAAGGGAAAAGCAAGATTCTCCGATACAATACAGCATGCACCAATCCAGTCACAATTGACGGAGAAGATTTGGAAGATGTAAAAACCTTTACATATTTGGGTAGCATAATTGATGAACACGGTGGATCTGATGAAGATGTGAAGGTGAGAATCGATAAAGCAAGAGCAACATATTTACAACTGAAGAACATCTGGAACTCAAAGCAACTGTCAACCAACACCAAGGTCAGGATTTTCAATACAAATGTCAAGACAGTTCTACTGTATTGGGCGGAAACCTGGAGAACAACGAAAGCCATCATCCAGAACATACAGGTGTTTATTAACAGTTGTCTATGCAAAATACTTCAGATCCGTTGGCCGGACACTGTTAGCAACAACCAACTGTGGGGAAGAACAAACCAGATCCCAGCGGAGGAAGAGGTTAGAAAGAAGCGCTGGAAGTGGATAGAACACACATTGAGGAAAGCACCCAAATGCGTCACAGGGCAAGCCCCCACATGGAATCCTCAAGGCCAAAGTAAAAGATGAAGACTAAAGAACACATTACGCCGGTAAATGGAGACAGATATGAGAAAAATGAACAAAAATTGGATATAACTGGAAAGGAAGGCCCAGGACAGAGCGGGTTGGAGAATGCTGGTCGGCGGTCTATGCTCCATTAGGACTAACAGGCGCAGTAAGTAATTAAGTCGTAATTAAGTACGTTGGATACTAAATCACGTGGTCATTTCTTTTTAAGATTAGGTGTTTGATATATGTCTTTTACAATCATCAGTTTTATAAACAAACTTGATGGTCTGATATATGGATGACCCTGACTTATTTTCGCATCTAAATGACTAATGTTAGCATTAGATATCTGTGGAATGACAAGTTTTCCAAATAAACGATGCTATAGTGAATAATAGACGTAAAACACTAGGCATGAATCATATTTAGGAAAAGCTCAGACTAACATCAACAGTAAATATTTCGGTACGATTTTAATCAACATTTGTTCAAATTAACAGTGATCTTGAATTATTGATTTCTAGAAAGCATAATTATCAGTTGGGTGGTTTCAATAAGTCAACATACTCAGAATACATTACACGAACTGAAGTTGTTTCGTTTCAAATCCTTTGGCTTCTTACGAAAGCACTTCTACGTTAGTAAAATGAAAGCCTCTAAGGTAGTCTAAATTAAAATCTTAAGAATTAGTAAAGAATAAGTTTGGCAATAAGGACTAGAAACCTAAACAATTTTCTCAATGTCTTGATAATACGTCACAGGTCTATCAGATTTACTTACACTCCTCTGTAGTTAGCTGATTTTTCAAACTAAATAGTTTGAAAGACCAGACCAATAAGTCAGTTATTTATTATGTAGAACCTGGAACATGTAAATTACCTCAAATCACCGCAATACACTAGAGTATCGAGATGAAATTAGCAAAACGAATCTCAGAAAGGTAAAAGTAGTGTAAAAATCAAGCACGGATCTCTCAGTGGTAATTTTTCTGCAGTTATTATCAAACTTAATTCACTTACGTTATATTCACTATATTCTGACCCGCCCCTTTTGACGAACTCTTCCCATAAATGAGAAAAAGGTCCATGACCTGTTTTGAAATAAAAAGCAAAAGTTCATGCAATGGTTTGTAGTTATTATTCGTTTGTCTGCAAAGTTTTTGATTTTCAAGTAATTCGTTTTCACTAACTATGAATCAATCTCCATAAAAAGAAAAGATGCGACAAACACAATCGTCATTGAAATATAACGAATTCCGACACCTATTTTATTATTACAGCACAAAAACTTTTCTGAGGAATCAACTGAAGCTGGATATTTTAAACTGTAATAGTGAACATTGGATTTAAGTGATCTGTAGTTCGTACCACCAGCTAATAGGATTTCACAATAAAAGTTTTTTTCTTGACTTCATATTTCTAAAGTGTGTTATTTGCTTCAATGACTGTTTTAAAGTCACTTTTCTGTTCAGTATGGGATTATAGTATAGAATTATCTGAAAATGTACGTCAATGCTTATTTAAGTTATAGAGGTACTTCTTTAATATTGTTACACTCATTGTACCACTATTCCTCCATCTCGTGTTACAAGCTAATTTTTGTATCGTTCGGACAAACTGAAGCGCTACAACGACGAGAAACTACTCGTTGCAACGCTTCATTATTCATTAATGAAATGTCAAATTATGTCGCAAACATTATCCTTAATCTTTTTCACCATCACTGATAATACTACTAATGATACTACTTTGATACTCAACTTGATGATTTCATTCTACTGAGCCGATAAGGTGTGGGACCTTGAATCAATGTATGTTATGTAATGTCCCACTTTGATTACGACTGACTAACTAACTGAATGCTGTATATATTGTTGAGAGTAGTTTTATAAACTGTAAGAAAACATTCGAAAAACTCTAAAGTAAATGATATAAACCGCAACGAACTCGTACATTTCGGTGAAGTCTTCTGAAAAAATTTACCAAAATAATATAAACAAGGTAGTTGGACCTGTGAGTAATTTTAACTAAAAGTCAAACAAATCTCTAGTTCTCCTCATATTTCCACTATCCCGTAGCATGTTTCGACTCATAATGATCATTTTTGAAATGAATATAAAATGTTGTCAAACGTCTTAAATTTCAGAATTATTAACTGGAAACTAAAAAACCTGCTTTTATGAGATTTATTTATCTCGAATTCGCTTCGATAACTACCGGTTCGCTTTTAAGCCCTTCATATAATCCTGTCAAACGGATTTTCGAAGTCTTCTAAGTGTCTGAAGTGACCGGAAAAAGTGTCGGATGAGTAGGACTGCTTCTAACCGTAAAAGTTTGATTTAGAAGTGCTCTGCGTAAATGTCTAGTGTGACTATTGGCAAGCAAACTAGATGTTTTGACTACTTTTCATAAGTTTAACCTCATTGGTTCTTAAAGGCCGGTTAACGAATAGACCTGTATCCCTCAATAAACACCATTTCGCATTTCAGAACGTTATCATCTCACCTAGTGATGGATTTTCGGTGCCTATTGTAACAAAATGATCATATTGTTGGTGGAAATTTAAAACACTCAGAAATTATGTCGTGTGTCGACTCACCTAAATCATGGCACAAGGCAGCGATTCTAATGGCTAACTGTTCTGAGGAGCTCAAAGCTGGACCCGAGTAATTTTTATCATTGTGAATAGTCTCAAGCAGCTTTTTGGCCATATGATAAGTACCAATCGAATGTTCAAATCGTGAATGTTGACAACTTGGAAAAACAAAATAAGCAATACCTAATTGCTTTATTTCTCGAAGACGCTGAAATTCAGGAGAATCGATCAACTGAACAGCTAGTGACTCCAGCTCTATTACACCATGAACTGCATCTTGAACAATCTGTATTATAAAATTAGAATGTTCAGCAACGGAGTGGTTTAGGTCATAATTCATTATTTTCTTACATAAGTACTGCATAAATCTTAGTCAACTAAAGATTATAAGTTCCATCAGCACATCAGTAGTGAATAAATAATCTAATTTCTGTATTAATGAAACACCCTAATATTATCTATTCCCATATATAAATTATTCATGCAAAATGCTAATCCACAGAACCTAACCTTCAGGATTATTGATGGCATTTGGTAAGGTATGCTTGAATTAAATTAAATTACTGGTGATTTCTGTAAAATACGATCCATATTGAATGTTTATACAATACAGATTCAAGTATTCATGAAGCTTTGTTACCCAGAGCTCTTTGGTTCATAGTGCTTAATTTAGAAAGCAAAATTATAATTGAATGTCTAATTATATTAGAACTGGAAGAAGAGCATACCAACCATTGTAGGATCTTTGATTTGTTGCATAAACTCACACCTTTCCCGAAGCATTACCCGTGTATATTTGGACCAGTGAGTATTGTTGAAATTTGGGGCGGCGTACCAAATTAGGATGGCAAACCTATAAATGATGTAGAGAATCTTTATTGACTTTGGTTGTTGGGACACGTATTACATATTGCTAACCACTCCACACCTTGATGAATGATGTTATCTGGCGAAGGAGTAGGTTGATAAAAGGATGTGGACGGCAAAAACAAGATATAATATCGGTCAACAAAGTCACTGTCGAATTGAGCCACGTTAAAAGTCATACACTACTTGGTAAGACCCTGTGCTGTCATCGTAACCAGTAGTTGGCTATGTAGGATGAGACGGTCCAGAGTCGGTAGTAGATCCTAAGTTTTCAAGTCATTTTATTATTTTGTATAATAATTGCTCAAATTCTTATTTTGATCTGGAATCGCATCTTCTATATCTAATCTTTTCTATACCATTTGACTGTTGCTAAATCTAATTCTACAGGACTGAACTTCGCTCTATTATCACATACAGATCTTACTCGCAGGTCATTTTTATATAACCGCTTTGCATAGTTTAAAACAGATCACTTTATTATCTGGTTTGCGCTTCCGATCATTCTACAAAATATTGCTTCTTCAATCTCAAACACAGAGTTTCAAGCTGTAAATGACAATATTGACATTTTACTAAACTATGCCAGGATGTTTTCCAAGGTAAATGAAAAACTAACATATATCAACTGACGTTTTGGTAACCGGAAACAATAACTATCAAAATATTGTCAAGAGTATAAAGTTCCTAATAAGTTTCTTAAATGATATGTATGCTGATCGTGCATGACATGAACAAAAACACGGGAGAGCATAAATGTCTTTTAAACTAATCTCACTTAGCGAATCATAAGCAAATACATACGTAGTACAAATGTTAACCATCTCAAGTTTCGACCCATCAGTACAGTGCTGTGAATGTAACAATTCCGATAAAAACATGAAAAATCTTGCAAAAAAACGTATGCAAACTTTCTCGCAGCTGGAATTGTAGCGGTAAATAAATCCTCAAAATAAATAGTCCCATGAGTCTTCGATGTTGACTTCAGTTTTACTAGACACATCCAAACTAAAAACACTTGGTCAGGCATCCACACCAGACCATCAATGGGAAAGTTGTGCTACGTATCTATCGTAACAACTAGTCAGCTTGGATCACAAACTTCTCAAAATATCAAATACTTCCCAAAAATATCCTCGAACTACTTCACTATTGACTTCCAGTGTGATTGGGTTTGAGATCGTTCGGTTATAAAGGTGTTACGAACAAAGGCGTTGTCTAATTCTGAATATCCATGGCATCTTAAGAATCAGTAATGTATGGCTCACCATCAGAAATGATAGTGATAACACAACAAGGTAGCCAGTGGCCAAGCATATGTAATATGCATCCCATAACGAAGTCCTATTGCTATTCTTATACGGTGGTACATCCAGATTTAGGATCGCTTAGTCGATTGTTTCGTTTTTCATAAACGTTCTGTGTTTCTAAAAGCTACGTCATTCAACTATAAAGCACAATATTTGGTTACTGTGTGCTATACTAGCCCCTTGATTTGATGACGAGCATGTAATCTATGCCGCAGGTAAAACGAGTTGAGTAAAGTCATCGATTATTCGGAATGCATGCTGCAAGCATTGGCTCTAGTTGTGTTTGAGTAAACAGCCTCTATAAATTTTACATAGCTCCTTAGCACATATGTTAACGGCGACCTCCCACAAAATGCTGTGGAATCGACTATTGTTCGGTGTAAGCACGCCGACAATCCGAAACCTCTCATAAGTCAATATTTGATCACCACTCTTTTTCTTGTTTAAAGAAAGCCTAATTTTCCAGCGTTTACAAATAATTAATGAATTTAAAGTAAACTTTATGGAGATATTGATATAAAAACGTCTCTGTTTAGCTAGGAAACTCCCTAAAAGTTTTAATCTTCCCCGAAAATTCCACATATTCCAAACAATTTTTGCTAAAGCCTATAAAATTTAAGTAATATATTTCAATTAGAGTATATTTCCAAGCTGCCAATCTTGGGGAAAATTTGGCCCACTTTGGGGAAGCCGCTATAGTAAATTTTGGGGAAATGAGACGCAAACCCAAAAATTTCCCCAGACCTGGGGAAATCCCCAAAATTTCCTCAAAGTTGGCAGCACGGGTTCCTTTCAACGAGGAACTGTCAGTACTTAAAACTCAACTGGTTGATGAATTATTTACAATAGACGTAACAAGGTAAAGTTTGTGTATTAAGATTAACATTACCTTAGAAGACATTTTACTGTTGTAGAGTGCAATTCGACCAGATTGCTGGAAGTACCGTTCGAGTAAATCTTCAGACGGGATGACAACAAGCTCTTTACTTTATTAGCGTTGAACCAACTGCAATCTCGCAATTAGACATATTGATACAACCACCTTTTACTTAGTGATTTTCACACCAAGGTCGTTTTAATCCTACTGTTGCTAACGTTGCGTTAATAATTGGTCTCGGGATCGTGTTACAAAAACCAAGTGTCGCAGGTAAACACCATTAGAAACACATGTAGCTTGAATCAAGATGAACAAAAACACCAAATAATGATATCTTGATATTACAGTGTATACAAAACTCTGCACGATCGTTAGATTTTATTATAAATCAAGGTTTTCAAGAGCTTAAAGCTCATTGTCGGTTCTCCTCCAAGAATTCTAATTGTTCTTTTTGGTGTTTGGTCTAACTACCTTCTGTGTCCTAAAATTTCCTCGTCATAGTATGTGACCGCGTTACTTCTCTGATAAGCAGAAATATCAAGATTATTTTCCAGTTGCTAAGAATATGAAGCTCCTTCTGGTAGAGCCACTAAGTTGTAGGGAGTGTAGCGGTAAATAAATCTCCAAAATAAATAGCTCTGTAAGTTTTCGACATTGGATGCTGACCACAGGTCTTAATGGACTCACCTAGCTAAAGGCGCTCGGTCATGCATCCGCACCATATCACGTGTGGGAACGCCGTGCTCAACATCTACTCCAATCGCTAGCCAGACTAGATCAGACAATTCCGATATATTGACAATCGTCAAATACAACTTCTGATCTCATCGATTCTGTCTTTTGATTTCTCTTGGTGAGTACGAGTTATATTAGAAGATGTTACTGGTTAAAGCGTTGTCAAACACTGAATACCTGTGCCATCTTCAGGAGAGTGAAATGTCAGTGAACCTTGACCAAGTAATCTATCAGGCTATGTTAAACGGCCGGTCATTGACCGTTCGATAATCTAGTAGAGATAGTCAGGGTCAAGGATGACTAACACAGACTGATCAGTTACACGCTATTATGACGGTGTTTGAAGAGCTTTTGGCACGAAGGTGGCAGTTGCGGTGTGGAGTGATTGATCATGTTTCTGGGTTGTAGCTGGTAATTAATTGGGACTCACACTAGACTGGTTGTGTTTCTGGGTGTGATAGTAACTCTTAATCATTGTGCATGTTAAAGAGTCTTAAGCTATGTCTTCCACCCCTACTGTGTATTCCTCGTATAACTGTTACAGTCATGAACTGGCCAGTATTAGCAATGGTTTCATTCTGTCTTTTACCTACTCTTATATTTTTTAAAAATCTTCATACTTTTTCTGTTCACTTGTCAGTTGAGCACAATTATCTAGGTACCACGAGAGGCCAATCTAGGTTAGGTATTATCTGTGGATTATAATGTCGACCTAACAGGCAGTTCCTGCCAAATCTTATAGACAGGGTCCTTCTACACAGATCACACAAACTCGTGATCTACAAAGCAATAATATAACGGTTTACAGATTAGTAGTGCTTTCGGTCTGTGAAGAGATTGTTGCCTACTTATGTATCTCCTTTAAGTAGCATTATTTTGCCTTGTGTGTACCGAAATATTTCTCAAAAACATGACCTCAAGACATACTTTTGACAACTTACATCACCTGTAGCGAAGGTGAGATATCCGTCTGTTAATTAAGGGACGAGTATACTGCGAGGCAACTCGCTCTGCTCCGCAAAACGTGGTCATCAAGGTAGAAGATACTCGTAAGCTACCTATATTTGATCACAGATGTCTTAGAAATATTGCTGGCATCTGCTGGGATCATCGTGTAAGTAATAGTAAGGTTAGACGCAGGGAAATGATGGTAAATCACTTGATGAGGTCGTGAATCTGTAGTGGCATTGGACCCTAAATACACAATCCTCAAAGCTAAACACGAAACGCTTGGGAAAATAGATACTCAACATTTACCGCGGAGGAAAACCTAACGATGAGGAAGGCGGGAACAATTAATTCGAGTTGATCGGATGGCATTGCTCGGCCTTGCAGGTGTGGTCCCTATTGAATGAGTTGGTATAGACGATGATGTAACTTCCACGTAAGATCTTATAGATTAGTCCGTTATATCATGACGAATCTGCAATTTTAGGATTAGGTCCATTATAGAGCAGTACTCATAACGAAATTGCCCATAATTCTACAAATCTTCATCGACTGAGATGGTTTGACCACGTGTTGCATATGGCCGAACACCGATTACCACGGCGCGCAATGCTCACTGGTGTTGGGGATGGTTGTAAGGAGAGTAGGGGCGGCCAAACCAGTAGTGCTTGAAGTTACTTACTTCTAGTCATAGTCATGTTGATAGATGCAGACTACTTGGTGGGGGTCCGCGTGACTACCGTAACGAATTCTTGGATACTCTGTGTGACGTGGCTCAGAATCGATCACAATGGCGTAGATGTATACACTCGTTGTTTTCCCTTAAACTGTGAAATCAAAGTTGCTTTATATCTTTCTTTCTACCAACCAATTCTTTCTTCCTGTACTATGTCCTTATATGCAACCTACTACAACAACGAAATTTTAGAAGCGGAAGCCGTAGCCATTCACAATCGCTCTCAGTAATCCCACCGTTCTAAAGAAAAGGAATTATGAATCAGAACGGGTAAGTGTTAATGTAAAATCTGAAGGAATCAGTAAGTAGCATCTGAAGTGGGATGCATTATAAAATGTAATTAAGTCACTCATGTTCAGTGTAGCTCTTCACTTATGTCACTGATTATTAACCAGTCAGGAGTCATTCTGACTACATTTATCACTGTTGTGTCTTTTATCAGTCTACTCACGTTTGTGCAGATGATAACTTTTCTAATCTAGATTAAGACCTTGACGCAATATTCTGGCTGGCTTAACTTTCAAACTAGCATGCGTGAGTTTCAAGTGAGACCAACTGCTCGAGGTGAAGAGAAGAAAACTTTTTTATCACCTGATTGACTGACAAGCACGCAAGTGAGAGAAGACAGGTCAACCGGAACACTACACGACTTATTATCAACTGCGATCTCGTTCCCGATTTCAGATTAGTGTTTAAAGTTACATGAGTAAAAAGATGAGTAAACAGACCACATAACGATTATAAAAATACAATTATGTCCAAAGCTTATAATCTATAGAACAGACAAGAAACGAAAATAAGTGTTACCGTTTTGTGAACTTCGAAATAAATGAAATAACGTCCGGAAAAATAAGTTCTGTAGCTCATCGCCTATGTCACTGATTATAAGTGTAATTAATCTATAGACAACTTCCTATAAATCCACACTTGTCTTTGGTTCATCTTTCCTGAAATAAGGTTTTGATTTTCTCTATTTTCACATTATGTAGCCTGTATATACTCAGTAATTAGACATATTTGAAGCTTCACAAACCTTGTGAAGGCTCTTTATTCGAACACCACTAGCCGAGTCAGAGCTTATGGCGAACTTTCACCTGATTTTGAAACCTCAAGTGGTGTCCGACAAGGCTGTCCATTATCTCCACTTCTGTTTAATTTCATAATAGACCTACTGCTGGAAATAACGTTCTCGTCGACTGAATTTTTAAGATCCGATCTCCTACCAGAAGGTACACTTGTCAACTTAGAATACGCAGATGGCAGTCTTGTTTGTGTGTGCTCACCTTTACTTCATATTCTTTCTGACTAAAAGGATATATTTTGTATGCCCCACGAACGTAATCCACTGAAAAGCGAAACGTTTTAAAATTATTTCGACTGAACAATTAATAATATCTCCAATGGATTCTATGTTTTATATTATGAAACTCGTAGTTGGAAAACATTGAAAATCCAATAAGTCAACTTCAATCATTGGGCATAATCATATTATATGTGATTACATCCACTATCATGAAACCATGCAAGTCTTATTTATTCAGATCTCCCTATTTACAATTGGTTTTTCTGGCAAGTTAAACATAATTGAACTGTCACAATTCAACTTTTGACACCACATAACCAGAATATTTAGACCCTATCATTTATTTCAGACACTGAGTGCACATGTTCTAAAAAGGTGCGCGGAGATAAAGACTTTTCGTGCCTTAAGGTAACCCTGGTGCTATTGATAGAAGAAACCAGACAAGTAGTGAATAGGTCTTTATTTCGATCTTCGCGCAGTCACAGTGGAGAGTGGGATTATCTGTTCAGACAAACAAAGGCTCTCAACATTCAATATAAGATAATAGGGAATATAACGCTTATACAAAATAAGGAAGTGAATGAATACTTGAACAATACTGTTTTGGCATATACTTGGTTGTTTGGGGTCAGCTCTTAACCAACCAACCTAAGCTGTTACAGACTTACATTCTAAATTTACACATACAACAATTAATTAATTCAGGATACGATCATCCATGGAATAATAACGTCACTGATATAAAGCTTGGTAATAAATGAATACTTTCATTGGCGGCATTGTGATGTATTCAACTGATGCACTACGATATTTACTGTGCGATCACGATTAAAATCTTCACATGGCAGTCTGTATTACAGACTGCCGAAGGTTTAGTCCAGTGAATAAAATACAAACCGTAGTACTTTTTGAGACACAATTTATCATTTTTAATTTGACAAAAATTGGGCACCGACTATAGATAATTCAAAATATGAGAAAATTATATTTGAAATGATCTCAGCGATTATTACCCTAAAGAAGTCCAGAAAAGCTTACCGGACGAAACTTTGAGAATATTTAAATTTCAATCACTGAGATTATTTCAAACATAATTTTCACATATACTGAACCATTTATAATACTAGGGTTAAGTATGGAATTTGTGTTAATTGACTATTTCTTTGTACATTATTCTGAGCCTGAGTTGAATTTTGAACAAAATACGTCCGACTGTGCCCACGTTGATCTCCTCTACACGTAACTGTTAGAGTATGAGTTAAACAGTTCTGGAAATCACTGTTTATTATACTGGATTTTACTATTTCTGGCTATCATATTTAGACGGCATCTTCTCAAACAACTTGATGTACTTTTTTCTTGAACTTTACTTGGCAAAGACAGATTGGCAGTATTTTATTAGCTTTAACTTGGAACTTTGATGAACAGAAATATATAGACACTTGTTCGTCGTGAACACCATCTGGCGGAAATATACTTTATTATTGTTATATTATCTAGTTTTAATATGCCTGTTTTTGGTTGAAGTTAGGTATGGTGTTTGTTTTACTGCCTCGAAACCTCGTTGATTAAGACCTTAATAATAATGATATAATTGATTGTGCATACAAACGTTTTCTTCACACACTAACAGACACATAAA